ATATATATGTGTGTATATGCATATATTCCCACAGGCTATCCCAGGGGCGAGACGGGGTCATGGTCTGACCACGCACCGTTCGCGTGTGCAGGGCTGCCCATCGGGTATGTGGAGACGACTAACTTCAACATCGACGGACACAACCACTACGACGGCTATTCACAGACAACCAATCCACTGATGTGGGACTGCTTCAACGCGTCACTTGTCAGTGCGTGCGATCGCGACACAGAGATGAAGTGGGGAAAGATCTGGCACACGCAGTTGTAAGTGGTTTATGTCTGTTCAATAACACACACAGGGGTCAATGGTTTATGTTTGTTTAATAACACACACAGTTGTAAGTGGTTCATGTCTGTTCAATAACACACACAGGTGTCAATGGTTTATGTCTGTTTAATAGCACACGCAGTTGTAAGTGGTTTATGTCTGTTCAATAACACACACAGGTGTCAATGGTGTATGTCTGTTTAATAACACACGCCGTTGTAAGTGGCTTATGTCTGTTCAATAACACACACGGGTGTCAATGGTTTATGTCTGTTCAAGAACACACCTAGGTGTCAGTGGTTTATGTCTGTTTAATAATACACGCAGTTGTAAGTGGTTTGTGTCTGTTTAATAACACATACGGGTGTCAGTGGTTTATGTCTGTTTAATAGCACACGGGTGTCAGTGGTTTATGTCTGTTCAATAACACACACGGGTGTCAGTGGTTTTATGTCTGTTCAATAACACACATAGGTGTCAGTGGTTTATGTCTGTTCAATAACACACATAGGTGTCAGTGGTTTATGTCTGTTTAATAACACACGCAGTTGTAAGTGGTTTATGACTGTTCAATAACACACATAGGTGTCAGAGGTTTATGTCTGTTCAATAACTCACATAGGTGTCAGTGGTTTATGTCTGTTTAATAACACACGCAGTTGTAAGTGGTTTATGTCTGTTTAATAACACACGCAGTTGTAAGTGGTTTATGTCTGTTTAATAACACACGCAGTTGTAAGTGGTTTATGTCTGTTCAATAACACACACAGGTGTCAGTGGTTTATGTCTGTTCAATAGCACACGCAGTTGTAAGTGGTTTACGTCTGTTCAATAGCTCACACAGATGTCAGTTGTTTATGTCTGTTTGATAACACACGCAGTTGTAAGTGGTTTATGTCTGTTCAATAACACACACAGGTGTCAGTGGTTTATGTCTGTTCAATAGCACACGCAGTTGTAAGTGGTTACGTCTGTTCAATAGCTCACACAGGTGTCAGTTGTTTATGTCTGTTTGATAACACACGCAGTTGTAAGTGGTTTATGTCTGTTCAATAACACACACAGGTGTCAGAGGTCTGTGTCTGTTTGTGTTTCAACACTCGCGTCGTCAACTCTGGCGCTTATGTACTCGTACGCCTGCTGCATGTTCCACTGCACACATGCCGCTTTAGGGTTTTAGGCGGTTGTTTCGCTAAAACCCTGAAACCTTTAAATCCTAAAACCCAATAGCACTATATACCCCCCACCACTCACCTATCCCAAATACACTCGGGTAGTTGTTTGCAATCGGTATTGCTATTCATATACACCAGCTAGCATACAACACTAATCCCAATTAATGCGCAACTAAAGTTTTATCAAAAGTACACTATCCGCAATTAGTCAGCGAATCAAGTCTCGCTCCCCATGTATTGAATTTTCACACTCCCACGTGAACTGACATACACATACACACTCCCCAGAGACAAATGCCTATACTTAACAGCCATGTCTTAAACTACACACACGTGCACATATGAACATCTCTCACCACAACTGTGTGCATGTCGCGTGGTCACGTCTACCTTAGCTCATTCGGCTGAGCTCTCTTCTGACCTCCTTGCACACACAGTGATCGTCTGGATATGTTGGATACAGCCTTCCCGGGCAGAGTACGTGAACAGTTGGGTGATACGGTTGACTCTCTGGTGACCTTCTTAACGCATGACACGTTTATGCGAGCAGTAGTCGCCTCTGATTGGGCTGCAACGGCCAATGCTTTTGGAGGTATACGTATGTATGTGTAACATTGTTATATGAAAGTGTATGTAACATTGTTATACGTATGTGTATGTAGTATTTTCAGTCTGTGCAACATTCTCATACGCAAGTATATGTTTCTGTTTTAAACCTAGACCATAGGAAAACTGCTGTTTGCGTAGTTAACCTGCAGTGCGTGTGAGTGTTTCGCTAAGAAAGTGTGCTGCGTCTGCTCACTAAGTCGGGTTTCATGCGAGGCACATATAAGAGCGCAATTGCAGAGAGTATGTAGGTATGCCATAGGCAGAGTGGTTTATGCCATAGGCAGAGTGGTTTATGCCATGGGCAGAGTGGTTTGTGCCAAAGGCAGAGTGGTTTATGCCATAGGCAAAGTGGTTTATGACATACATCAGCCCCACAGTTGTACACCCAATGTGTGCCTTGCTAGACGGCGTTGTTACCTGACTACCCATGGCCCACAACTTCTGTGCAGGCTTGTGTCTGGGGATGTCTACTGTCCACTGTACTTATGTGAGGTCAGCGCCTTGGCCCAATGTCTGGGCCTGGACTTGCAGCACCCACTAACCCCCGTCGCATGACATGACATGGCATGCACACACCACACACCACACACCTCTGCAGATGCCGCTTCCCAAATCGAGACCGGGGCAGGTGCAACCCTATTCCACACTGAGAGGACAACTTCAAGCCATACCCAAACGTTAGTCATCAGTGCAGTTGCCGTGATAGTAGGTGTACTTGCCATTGGATCATTGTTGGTGGCAGGTAAGAGAGCGCTCAGGTGGTACCGGTATGGGCAAGCAGTAAACCAGGACGGTGGCGAGAGCGAGTGCGAGGAGGGGTCAGACCTTGAGGATGAAGTCATACTCATGAGGGACGTAGCCAGTGATTCGTGAGCGTTGTATGTCGCGTGACTAATGGACTACATACCCGTCAACGAACATGGTCACATAAGCCTGGATAGCTTGAGTAGGGTTTGAAGTAACGGATGGATAGATAGCACCAGGGGCATATTTCAATACAGGTGTTTGTGCGTGTGCCAAGGTGTGTGACTACAACTGCTATAATCCTAGAGTGATTGAAAGCTTGTTGGGTTACAACATGCACTAGGTTTTAGGGTTTTGCACTGCGAAATTGTTAAATCTGTGCGGTCCATAGTGGTACAAAGGAGCTCACGTACTGTAATCGGCAGAGGGTGGGTGGGTATTTAAACTAAAGCCTCTAGAAGTCTCAACCCTGCCCAAACCCTAAACCCAAAACCCCAATCCCAAAACTCTAAGCCATGAACCTCGCATAGGCCACAGTACAATAGCAGACAAGTTGTAAGCGTGCCTTGCGCTCGGTATGAGTATGCTACACGTTTGCCACCATTCCATTAACCAGCTTAGCTTAGCATGACTCAGGCGCGGGTTAGTAGTCTAATTGACATATGGCCAACATGGATATGGTACACTCTCTCCACTACTCACATAGGTAATCACTTTCTTCAGGCAAGAGGCAGGGGGTGGATAATCAGTTCATGACAGCACACTAACTGGCAACAACTGTGCTCAAGCCGTTCTGTGGCGATACGTTTTGTATACACTACTTGTCCTTAGACAAAGATTCTAAATCGACAAAGACTATGCCTTAAATTGAACTATAACCCTGCATCCAGAACCCTAAGCCAGCCAGTGAATAACAATAAGTGACAACTGGACCCTAAACATAAACACCACTCCAACTGAATAAGCGATACACTGTAGTCCGGTCCGTATGGTATATTTTTAATTTTTCTTTGGAGGGGCATGCCACAGTGCTATTAAGTGACAATAAACCCTAAACCCTTAAAGGGGCACCGCAATTTCTTGAAAACACTAGAGTGCGAATTCCCCTCCCAGCGGAGGTATTGTTGTGACTCTGCGCATGTCAACCCCGACTTGCGGCGCTGCTCTGTCCCGAGGGTTTACTGCCGTTTAAGTCCGTGTTATAAGCTGGTTATCGAGACGACTTTATTTGGTTGGTGATTGCATGATATTCACACAGGAGGTCCGGTAAAGGGAGTGCTTCCAGTGATTTGGTGAATGTGGTGACCTGAACTAGGGCACTCAAGGTTGTTGCCAGTGGGACTGTACGAACTTTTGAGGTTATTGGGCATCAATCCGATATCTGATTATAAGTTAAAATTGTACGAACGAGGATCATATTGTTTATGATGGGCCACAGATACATCATAGATATATCGCCGATAGGAGCGAGTCAATATTTTGTATGTTGTGTGTATAACCATGTTTTACATGTACAGGTAATGTAACAGATAAGTCAAGTATTTCATACACGATTACATAGTATAGGAAAGAACACAATCTTTAATTATGCAAAGTAAAGTAAAGTGTTTAAATGTACGATATAAGTAAGAAAAAAATGCATCAAATAAAGCACAAGGAGGAACCTCAAACTCGTTCAGAAAGACCGTGTTCTCCCCGCAAACCAGCCCTACAATCTCATTCATCATAGCCTTCTTAAATAGAAACACTTATACCTGTCTTATTAGTTATATTTTTCGTCTTTATCCGTCTATGCAAACTTAGGTCCCTTGCGTCTATGTGCTTAAAAAAATATGAAGTACATATGACATACGTAACAGGTAATATAACAGACCTATACTCTCTCTAGAGAGAGGCACTCTCAGACGACGTACCAAATGATTTCCGAGAGAGGGGAGTGAGGGGACTTTGTTCTGAAGGCCCTGGGTGTCAGAGTGTCAGTCAGCTGTCATATCTTTATAATAGGCCCCCCTCAGGAAAAAAAGCCTCCCCGAAAAGTAAAAACCTTAGAGCTAGCCTATAGACCCTAAATACCAACTTCCAAGGTATGTACAGTACACGAGTGCCATACCCATATATGGTAGGTGGATGTAAGTATTATTGGTCGGGAACGTAAACGAATACCTTTTAGTACACACAAACTAAAATAAACAATATATAAGACACGATGTATATCACGGAGGAATTTAAAATATTCATATAATATCAAACATAAATTTAGTGTCGTAAACTGTTTCAAATTTTACCCTTCAAGCCAGAGGATGTTCCTGTATATACAACAACTTATACATGTGTTTAATTATTGTCAATAAAAATACACATGTACCAAATTAAAAGGTATGTCTGTCTTTATTTAATTAATGGGAAAATCGAACAATATGTAGACAGACCCAATAAGACCACAGAGATTCAAGTATGCTCTCGAATGATCGTACTGTCTGTCTCAATATTGACTGTGTGAGCTGTGTCCAGTTACTACGGTTTACGCACGTACGTAGTGTATAGTATATAGGGATATCAGTGCCCCTCCACAGCCACAGAACAGCCCTGGGATACAATAATGCAGAGTTTTGTGAGTCGATCTGTACGCACCACCGCCAAGGTTAGTTAGTTGTGGCACAAAAGGCGTGCACCAGAGCACTTGCGTGTGTGGGCATACATCAAAGCATTTGCACTCATGTGCATACACATGCGCGTTTGCACGCTTGCTTGCGTCTACCCTACTTACATATCTATATGAATGTATATTTTATAAAGCAATGTATGTACAAATAATATATATATATATATTTATATATATATATATATATATATAGACATATATATA